GGCGTTCTTGTTGTCAGTTTCTATCCAGATTGCCTGAGTGAATGTCTGGAGGTGTAGGCACCTCGGAATGATTGTGTTAAGTTTGCACTACGTCCCCCCTTCCACCTTTATTCTTTTTTTCGCTATAAGGCTTTCAAATAAATCATGGTTGTACGGCAGTGAAGCATCGGTGTTGAACACTGATGTCATGCTGTCGATGATGATGGTCCTTATTGTGGCAACTTCTCGCTGCAACTGGTCCCTAGCCATTGGTTCCTCATTTCATTTCCCGTGCCACATCTTATATCGCACGCTATCCTGTTCCTGTGGTAACCTGCGAATTAATAAAGGTACCAGGTCGTCCTGATTTCAGGTTTGCATTAGGATCAGCCTCCTCACAGAAATTGTGCCAGCCAGGAGGGAATTCAACGATTGTTGGATACCTGTAAACACATGAATTATATAGGAATGAATAGGCCCAAGAGGACCGATTGGAACACAGTGAGTCATCAGACATCCAGAGTTACTGTGGAAGGTCAAAGGTGATGGTAGCAACAGCAATGAGATTTGGTACGTAGGATGTAGAGCGTTTGTATGTGATTAGTGTGAATGCCTTGAACCTCTGTGAACATGGAAACGGGTCTGACAGATGATGGACAATAATACCTGAGCTCACACAATGAGTATGTTATCGTGGCTCGATCAACCATCTGTGCTTAGCTTGAATGACCACCTGTGTTGTGAGTTATCCGTTATACTTTTGTGTGGTTTAATAGGGTTTCGCAGCTACACGGTGGATCGTGCTTAGCAGACGATATGTGAAATTTCCCCTATTTCTCCTCTCATAGGCTGGCTTGACACTGTTGGCAAACCTTCTTGAACTGGCAATCGTACACAGGCGTTCACAGTCCAAGACTATCAGTTCATATGGGTCCAGTTCCACTTGCGGCGATTGGCTACAGATTCATACCCATTCGCAGTCCGACGACATAGCCCCCGTGTCTGATCAACTGCTCAGTTTGGTATTCTATCTGAGCCAAACAGATCTTGCCTCCATTACAGGGGCCAACCCCGAGCGTTCCGGGTCAACTCTGAAGCAGATCACCACCCTCGTTAGCCATTTACGGCAAGTTACCAGTTGTTTTTTTTAATGTAATCATAGGTAGCTGTTTACTTCCAGCTTTCTCACCTGTGTACTAGTACCCTTGACTGGGTGGGGCCTGAAATGCTAGAAACACGTTTTAGCGCTTCATGAGCGGTCTTGACGCTTACTCCTCTACTATACAACAACTTGAACATGAGGCCTCCGTTGCCTTGTGGGATTTCTTTGTATGCTTCATTGCGTCCTTACTTTCGGAATTCTCCTTCACCTGTTGGATGCGAGAACTACCTAGGTCCTGAATTGCGTCCTCTGAAATCGGTTCCATATACATTCGACCGCAAACGATTGCCCTTTGTACGATGCAGTCTATAAGGAACTGTTCTACCCTATTGTGGGAGTCGATTGCTATGCGGTGAATTAGGCAAATTAACAACGGGAACAGGAAGATTTTGGATTACGCATCACTTAGCACTTGTAAAAATCAATGGTTTCCAAGCTTTCCAGGACACCTTCGAAACAGGTATCATTTACTATCTGAGCGGCCACTTGCAGAATGGATTCTACTGTCTTGCTCTAGGAGCTGCGGAGTCAAAATATTGTGATATAGTTGGTGACTCTACGCCTACCTTGTTTGGCTGCTTCGTCAGCTCTGATCCTATGACTCCTAGGCACAATTCTTCCGCCGTCCTGAGATTTTGCGGTATCTTCAACGTGGTTTGTGACGCATCGGATGATTGGTAGGGTAGATGCCTATTAGCTGAGCTGTGCTGAACTCGTCCACTATCCACCTCTCATTTATTGTCAAGATCAGGCTTTCAATATTTTTTAAGAAAGCCGTTTTTTGAAACCTCAGGCATACAGAATGTGTTCCAGCTTGTACGGCTGGTAAGTAGTCAGCTGATTGGTGTTGCTATGTGTGAACAGAAGTCAAAGCTTCATGTAGTCCTTATGTTGGTGGCGCACTCATGATAATCATCGGTTTCTCGATAACCTTTCAATATGTATTCTAGTCCAGCCGGCCGTTGCTTGGCCGGTTGACGACTCGTATGTACACTTGTGTTTTCTGCTCTATGTGAATTCAAGGTTACTGGTTTCGGTTATTTCATTTTTTTTTGCAGCATCCTACTCCAGTATGTCACGGATATCGTCAGTTTATTGCCACGTTACTGGTTCGGTTATTTCATTTTTTTTGCAACAACCCACTCCAGTATGTCACGGATATCGTCAGTTTATTGCCTATTTTGCAACGTGTTATCGCTTCTGCCCTGGCTACTTCGAATGCAGTAAGTTGTTTGCCATGTTCTGTTGCAGTTTATTAATTCTTAGCTCACTGGGCACACATACCAACTAATCCTTCCTCTCTGTGTATATCGTTCAGGCTATCCTACAAGGATGCTTCATCTTCTTAGGAGATTTGGCTGAATCTGCCAAGCCCTCTTCAACCTCAAACGTGATTCACTCAACGAAAGCACAACTAACTGAAGAAATGTTGCACCTCTCTGTAACCCAACCCGAGCTTCTTCGTGACACACTGGCATCTACACTGCGTGTTGCGACACGTATCTCACGCACGAATCAGCCATCATTGCATTCTGCGTTGCATCGTGCCTTGGCATCACTTCTATCAGCAGTGCCAGGTGAAACCCGTCTGCGACTTTGTACGTTACTCATCCAATGGGTGACAAACACCAGCAAAAAGTCATCCTCTGAAGAGGTTTATGTGTGCAAAGTCCTCAACAGACTTTCACTTCTGTACCACGTTTTCACAGAGTAAGTTCTGTTTATGTTCCTTCATCATTCTTCACTTCATCTTATGAATTTTTCGTACCGTCTTGCTTCGTACCCTCAAAACCCTTGGTGATATGTGCATGATCACGTTACCATTTTCAGCCTTTCAAATCGCATCGCAACTGAAGAATTCTCGGAGCTTAGCAAACAAATCAGCCTTGTGGACTACCTTGTTTTAACCTTCCACATTCTGTCGGGTCACAACCGCAAGAGTAAGTCATTAACACCCTACTGTCAACAGTGAATTACGTCTGTGAGCCTATCGGTCATTCTTGGTTCTTGGGCATAGGCCTTAGGAAGCTGGAGGTGCAGTCGCCCACACACCCGCACCGTCACCATTGGTTGCGGCAGGTAACCGTTAGCGTATCTGTAGTGGTTATTTCCATCGCTTATTGAGTGCTAACTCTGTAGGTTAACACAGCCTATGAGTGATACAGTGTTCAGGTTTCTCTTCTCTCTGAGAAGAAATAAAGTATCCAGTGAAAACTAATCAAGATGATTCTCAGACGATGCATTCATTTTTGACACTGCTGCTTGAAAGACCCTGCACGATGCTTGGCATCGCGAATTGTCAGCTCTGTTCTAAGTCATTTCCGTCATCAAACTGCAGTTTTTAAATGTTGGGGTCCACTCAACACACAACCAATTCCCGTGTTATAGTTTAATGTAAATTTGCCGTTGAACGCAGGGCCGTTCTCTGTTTTCTCAAACTGACTCATCCAGGGAGCACATTCAGTTTGCTATCTATAGGTGTTCACACTGCGTCTGACGCTTTGCTTCTTAGCATGAGATAACTTGGCTTCATACACAGAAATCGCTTCGCTACCCCTCGTACTCGTTTGATGTACAATGCGGACTTTGTCCTCGTTGTCCAGCGACTGGCATATTAATGTCCCGTTGACCGCTGTCCGAATATTCATACAATGAACCCGCAAGCTATTCCATCACGGCGGTCTAGGTGTAGGTCAATACTTACGCAATATACCCTCAGTAATAATAGAGTAGGATTTGCTGTTCCACACTATTGCCGAACGTTATACAAGAATCTAGACTGGACTCGGATCCGTTGGATTCGGAACAAATCCGTATAAATGGGTCAATCACCAGTAAAGTTTTCGGGTTGGGCGCACGTAAATGTATCCGCTAACACCATCTGCACACGGCTGTGTTAAGAGCGTGACCGGAAGGTCCGTGGTTCAAACCCGACCTCTGCCTCTCGACTCCTGTCTAGGCTTGGGCAACCTGGCAGTAGTTCAGCCCTCGTGATTCGTTCGGGTAGAATGGCAGCTAGGCACCGAAATTGTGTTACGGCTGAACGGTTATTATTTCGTTTGTTATTATTCTCCGTCATCTCTCTTACTAGACTTCCTTTACCCCTCACTCTTCACAGGCTTCCGTAGACTAGGTGAGAAGCTGCATCTGAAGTCGTGTGTTGGACGTTTATCCCGTGGAGTTCCCGCTGAGGCGCTCGAAGCTGCACTATCCGCCGTCGGTTGTTTACGTAGGTGGTTGGTGGTAGAGGTTGAAAACACAAACTCCTTGGATGTCGGTTCTGGTGGTGTGTCACTGCTGGAACTCCCCTCGGCGTTCATTGCGTTGTTGGATATTACGCGTCTAGAGGATGCTGAAGAGGTGGTAAAGTCACCAGCCATCACCGACTCACAGCTTACGCAGACCTTAGATGCTTTGGTAGACTCCATTTCTGGTGACGAGGCCCTGTTACGTCCCCTGGGCTCTGCTTTGGCACATCGCATCACTCAAGGCGTCCATTGGTCTGTTCGGCTATCTGCAATCCGTCTCCTAAAACGAACGTTTGATCGTTTGTCCAATGGCGATGAAGCAGGGATGTCCACGGCCCATTGTCTGGTATCTGATGCACTGACCGCTCTTTCTGAAGCACTAGAGGATGATCGGCCAGAGGTTGAGACTGCCGCTAACAAACTCTTTGCCGAGCTTGAACAAAGTGGGCTTACCTCTCGGAATGAGTCTGTTTAATCTGGTTTGTCTCGCTCCCCTCTATGCCAATCTCTCTTTCTGTATATTCCCTCTTGGCTTCTGTGAATAGATGAATCCATGATCATGAGACGATTGTATTCTCGTTTCGACTCGGGCCAGTCGGAATCAAAATGTGTAGTAATGCCCAAGACTGCTCTTACTCTCTTCTCTGAGGCTCATAGGATTGAATGATTTTCGTAGACAACAAAATCCGTACGATCCGTTTGCCTTGATATTTTCGACTGATAGCTATACAATAGTAGTGCAAGCTTGAAAACGTGTAGTGATTGTTGTCACACCCTGTCCTCGTTCACCACGTTGTCCAGCCACCATCACGTTTGGTGATGTGTACTTTACTATATGGATGTCTATCGATCCTATCTACGTCCATTCTGATCCAGAAACAGCTTATCTCTTCTATAAACTAATGGGTGCCCGAGTAGGACTCTCCCTGAGTTCCTCAAAGTTATCCTTCCATTTTATGTCATTCCAGTCAAAGCAAAACAGAATCTTTCGTGGTTCAACTCAGACCGTCAAATTTATTCTTGAGTTCTGTGCAGCACTTTCCAGCTTCGATTCAGCTCGTCAATCTTTTTCGTGCAAAAGAGTCATACAACGATTGAGGTGAACAATCTGAATAAGTGGATAACTCCCACTTTAGTCGGCGCATTAGGAATCATTCTGTATCGGATAAAGAAGTCACTCGGTTGCCTGGTGTCGCCGTGGCGACGGTGGGTTTTTACTTTCCTTTGGAGAAACATGAAGCCGCGTCTCTGTGAAGCGTGGGATGGTAGCTGCTGATATCTCCCGACACTTTTCTTTTGCTCTCCAGTTTGAAGAACCTGAAAGGAAAATAATCTCTCTAAAATATGATTATTGTTGACAGTTATCAATTGTGAGGTTTCGATCAATCCAGCTCACTAGTAGTTTGTCAACTTCACAAGCAATATTGACTCTTTTTCATAAAGGAAACTACTCACAAGGTTGCTGAAAACTCTTCGACAGCCCATGACCGGTTTCGCTCTTCTTGGGGCTCATCAGGTAGGCGCAGTCCCCGAGTTTCCGTCAACCTTATGATCTACTTGAACTCAAATTGGACTGTTTTCGAGAAATACACTAATTTGCAAATCAATTTAGTTTTCACGAGAGACTCAAATGAATCTCTCGTTTATGATATTCTACAATTGAATGTGGTGCACACAGGCCACCTCATGATTCAGTTGGCACGATATTCGAGATATCGCAGTATATTTTCATACAGGATACTACTCACAAGGTTGCTGAAAACTCTTCGACAGCCCATGACCGGTTTCGCTCTTCTTGGGGCTCATCAGGTAGGCGCAGTCCCCGAGTTTCCGTCAACCTTATGATCTACTTGAACTCAAATTGGACTGTTTTCGAGAAATACACTAATTTGCAAATCAATTTAGTTTTCACGAGAGACTCAAATGAATCTCTCGTTTATGATATTCTACAATTGAATGTGGTGCACACAGGCCACCTCATGATTCAGTTGGCACGATATTCGAGATATCGCAGTATATTTTCATACAGGATACTACTCACAAGGTTGCTGAAAACTCTTCGACAGCCCACGACCAATTTCGCCCTTCTTGGGGCTCATCAGGTAGGCGCAGTCCCCGAGTTTCCGTCAACCTCATGATATTGACTCTCATAGCGAAACTGTCTTAGACCCAATCTGTATCACATAAGCGATGTTGGAAGACAGCTAGATAGGTCACGCGAAGTTCATGAACAGATCCGGAAATAATAATAAGTAGCTATACCTTTTTTAATTCGCGAAAGTCTATTAACTTTTTGTTTAAAAGCGTTAATTTGAGGCCCAGGAGCATTCGTCGTTCAACTACTTGCACTGAATGCAGACAACGGATTGGCTTTGCTCTTCCCAAGTTTATCCGTTGGATTATCACCTTTTTAAGTCAAATTCCCAGTATTTTTCACAATATTTTTCCATGCTTAAGATTGTCGAAACCCCAGTGTCGTGGTGAAAATCTTACTGTCTAGACAGAAGTCTAAAGTTCGCTCGACACGGGGTTAAGGTGTCCGCGGACATTCGACTTCCGTCACTAAACCACACATCTTTCATATCTTCATTCAGGGCCTCCTATCTTGACATCGAGCGTTCTTTAAATTACTAGTGAAGCACCAAAAAAGCCGTTCGTTTATTCGTTGAGCCGTGCAATTCGGTTGCAAACGTTCTTCAATCGCAGTCGCCAAGATTTCTCTCTGGATATCTTAAAAAACGCCGTGCTTTCTGGAAATAAAAGTTGTATGGTTAACGGGACCTCATTGAATCATATTACTGTCCAGCGCTAGTCTACTATTCTCTCAAAGTGGAATCTTCTTCTGGAACGAAGGATTCACTTCACAAATTTCGGGTGTTCGAAACGTACTGTTTATCTTGGTCACTCGCCATTGCACAATGGTAGCTGAACTTTTCAGGTGCAAGTTTATTTACGTTCAAAGCGAGGTTCTGTTGGGTAATTAAGTCATTATCTTCACCATCAGCTGCAGTACAGTACTGGTGCTAGGCAGAACTAGACTCCTGAATGTGGTATGGAATGGATGAGTTATATTAAGTCATTTCCCTATAGTTTTAGTAGATATGCTTTTTGGAAAAATCGGCTGACCTCCCAAAGAATCCCTGAGTTCGTCGCCTGTCAGCGATGGTCTAGTCTACAATCCTTCCGAGAATAAGACAGGCCCCAAAGAAGCTGCATGCCTTCTGTCTGTGATGGATTCTAGTGAATTTGTTGTTGTGCTTGTCTGACAGCTTCCATATCGTGCTGTGACACGAATGAAATATCGTCGACTCTACCTCGTGTGCTCCCGTGTTCTTTATTTGGATTGCTTGGTAAACTGCCAGTAGTGTGAAGAGGTTTGGGAATTTTCATGGAGATTTCGTCCTGCTGAAAAGCCGAGAGGCACGGTGCTTCTTGGTTTTCGAGCATAGATTGGCCT